CACCATTTTTGTTTGAAAAATTGCTGATTTTGAAAGTTTATCTCATTAACGATTTATAAACGGTGGACATTCAGACATGACATGTAGGTATACCCGTAAAGAACTGGTACAAGAAACCTATTTTCGCCGCAGTTTTTTCGAACGTCTCCTATGATGATGTAAACGTCTTGTAGTCGATTTCATTCTTGTAAGTGGAAACCTGTCTTCAAAGCATTCGATCAAATGAGTTTCGGAAAACCGCCAGTTTTGTCGACAAGCTGTGAAATAAGGCCAAGGTGTGTGATGCCGATAGACGATGAATTGCCTGGAAATCCACATACGTTCAAAAATTCCCAAAAGTGAATAGTGAAATTTACCATCCACTTTTCTCTCCTCTTGCACAAGCAAACTTTCGTTCGTGGCTTTGCCCTCGCTGTAGTAACAAAGCGTGATCAAACCGTAGTTCTAGGTAAGAATCTTCAGAAGCGGTGTTGTTGAGGATTACTTGTGTAGCTACAGCCTGAAATGAGTCTGTATGTATTCTCCTACGTGTAATCACTCCACTAGTTCTGAAAAGCACTACAGTGCCGTTGCGGTGACGACAACACTCGCGCGTGGAAAATGCTCATGGCGGGCAATACGCGTAGACGTTGCGCTCTATGGCTATTTTTCAATGCGAGCGCCTTAGGAGCACTTCCAACCGAAAAATTAGATCAAATTAATGAAGTTCGAAGAATTTTTCAAATTTCTTTAACAATAAGAAACTTTTTTTGAATTAATAATATCCTAGACGCACAATGAGCCTATCACCAAATTGTTTTCGAGTCTGCCATGGTCCAGCTTCGCTTCTTCGTAGCCCCAGTCCGAGTTCCCCATCTTCCCAAAGTGGCTTGCACACTGTCGATGCCACATGGTCGGATGGTAAGAATACCCTCAAGAATGTTTCTTTGGATGTTTTGCATCGAGCATAAAGGGGCTTACTCGTTCACAGTTTCTTCTAAAGGTCGCTTAGAGAATACTGGTGATGGCAAAATTGCTGCGTGAATGGCACGAGACGTTGGGAGTAGTGTTATGCAAACCTGCAAAAAATATTTGTTTTCTAAATTCTTTTATTCAT